CTGTTTAATTATTCTTGTATTTTATGCATTTTGGGTAATTTACTGTTTAAGTTTTGTTTTTGTCTCTTTATAGAATAAACACATTAAAATGTATGAAGTGCACTACAGTCACAAAGATTCTCTGACCTCCTGCTTGGCACATACAACCACTACTGATTCCTGATCAGAGTCACTTTAAATGGAGGCCAAAAGGCTCACAGTGCTGCAGCTGTTTGAGTGCCATAAGGACGCAGCAGACTGAAGGATGAGTCCAGGCCCTGCCTCTGCTTTAGACACGGCCTCCTTGGCATGATGACTCGCTTCCAGCTGGAAACTACATACAATATTTTCCTTTTCCTGCCCACAATCTGAGTCCATCAAACCAGCTGTGATCAGTCCTCATAGATGCAATGGATACCTAGTTTGAAAATATATATATATATTTGAAGTTTTTTTTCTTTTAAACTGAAATGTTTTATTTTTTGTTTGTTTGCCAGTATTTGTCTGTATGTATATTATAGTGATATACATGAATTAGTTTGATGCCTAATTTTAAAAAATATATATTCTTTAAAAATGTACTGCTATATTTTTCAGCCAAATTCTTTATACCTTTACACATTTTTAACTTGACACTAGGTAATTTTATATGGACACATTCTCTGATTATGTTCATATGTGGTGAACCAATATTTAATTTACAACTTTTTTTGGTTTTACTCAGGTCATAATTTTTAATGACAGCTTTTCAAATGTAGATCTTTTTTGTTTTATGATTTCTCCCTTTCAGAATTTATGATTATCTGTAATCATATGATACGTTTGAAAAAAAGGCTGTTTCTATACTGTTACTTTTTAGTGGATAAAAAAAGATTCTTGTTTAAAAACAAAATGGGGATTCACACTACATCATCAGTCCAACCCTTTCCTGTTAGCTGTAAGGTAAACTGACCACAGGTACTTGTGTACTAAAGTTCAGCACACTTCTTCTTTTGGGGGGAACTTTGATATTTTTATAAATATCATTTTGTTATTATTTTGTAAACTGTTTAAGCCAGCAATAATTGATGTGATTTTGGAATGTAATTGTAAGTGATGATAGAAAATTGTTATATACTGTATTATGTATGTGACAACTGTGTCTATTTTAACTGGGATTGGCTGCTATTTAGATCACACTAGAAAATATTTTGGTACCGTGTGTTTGAATGCTTGGTAGTTTAGCATCATTTTGCAATATATTTTTGTAGCAAACGAATTATGAAACCTAATATTTTTCAGTTGTATAAAATTTTACACTGTAATTTTCTTATGCACAATTATGTTTTTCTTAAGGCCTTTTGTCTGGTGTCATGTCTGTGGTACAAAGGTTTGTAACAAATTACCTTGATAAACGGCTAATAGCTTCAAGCTCCATTTCCTCCATCTTAACCTTGAGTTAATTGTATTTACCAGCACAGTTAAAATCATAATCAATAGAGCAGTAATACATTATTCAACATAACAACCACTAATAAAAAAAAAAGGTATATTAAGATCAGACGTTTTCTTACGGCTTTTAGATAATTTGAGCAAGGATGATTGCGTGCTAGTTAGCCGCTGTGCTATTGTAAATGAGAACACACCTGATTAAATTGAGATTGAATTTAAAATGGACGAAAGTTGAATTTAGACTTTTTATCTCTACTTTATTCCTGAGTGCCTCTGTCCAGAGCTGTAACTGTATGAGAATAAACGAGGCGTAAAGTTTGAAATGCTGGAGCTTCGGTTTCCTTCGCACACTTTTGCACAAAGACTTATGTGTAGCAATATGAGAGAACTGCATCAGGCAAATAAACCACCTTTCCTAACATTATTGTGTGCTATGGATAACCTGACATAAAAATCTGGTTCCTGATTTGTCTGGTAATCCACAGCACGCAAAGTTGTCAAACACTTTGCCACCTTCGCTTTTTGGTTTGGTATTTCAAATGCAAACTTTGCATCATCACTTTGGTCTGGTTCAAGTGGCATCTAGTCCAGGGACCAGAATGTGATCTAGCCTCATAAAGAATAAAAAACTGTAACATCACTAGTTACAGAGAACTCCATACTATACACGAGGAAACTATAATTTAAAGAGACACGTAAGAGGCTTGGGATTGTAGAGCATAAATAGAAAACTAACTGAAAAGAAAATGTGAAACTTTCATTGTACACCTGTAACTGCACCAAGAACAAAGTCACCAGATCTTTCCCTTATGATTTCATGTTTAGTCTTTCACAACTTTCAGAAGATGTGGCTTGCAAGTGGAGCATCAGTACTCATTCCAATTTTGACAAGAGATTGTACGTTCGCCTTGAAGAGAGCTTTGAAGTTGCTTCAAAGAATGTGCAAAGTCTGCACCATCACAGTTAGAGGAAGGAAATGGTTCTTACTCAAAATGTTTGAAAAATTGTGAACAAATGGGAGCAAGACATTTCATGATATGAGTTGGAGATTTTCCTTGTGCATCTAGAAAACAAAGCTGATGGACCTACCCTCTCTCTCATTGTCTCCTTTTCTCCTTGCTCATTCCCCAAGTCAAAGATGTCAAACAAAATCACATTAAAAACCTCAAACAAAATTTTTTAATCCAGCAGAGAAGGACCCAAATGAAGATCTACAAGAAAATAATTTTTGATGCGAGTTTTCCCAGCCATGGATTTGCCCCAAGACATTCATGTACCCTAAGTGGTCCCTAAAACATTTTTGCAATGCAACATTTTGAGAAATTGTAGGTAATACTTACCAAAAATTTAAAGAAACTTTAATAAGTCATACAGGGTTAGATATGTTATATGTTATGAAAAGATTAGGTGCAATATTGAAAAGAACATACATTTTTTAAGTGTTGAACAAATTCTGGTGTCACAGTAGCAAGTTAAGTGGGGACATGCATAGTGTAAAAACAAAAGAATGAAAGACTACGCAAGGACAATATAATACTGTGTAGTTCTTTAAAAAATAGTCCTGTCTTCACTGTCTTAGTCTTCTCTTTCATCACATATTGTTGGTTTCTCCAGCAGCACTTCTCACCTTTCCTCAAGCATTCACCAGCTGCTCATATGAACAGCAGAGGACCGGGCTGATGGAGTTTAATAATTTAGAAGGCACTTTGTGTGCTTCGTTCAAAGCAGCTCACATGTATCTTTATTGTGTGCAAACACGGGCCCTTCCTCACACTATTCAATTTGTGGTACTTTACCCTCTGGGTGATGCAAGGGAGTGGGATTTTTGTCTGCCTCAGAACTATTGAAAAAGGGTACATATTTGTATTTGCGACAGAAACTATCGGGGGAAAGCCTGAGTACTCTGCTGCCTCCTAGCTGTACCTGGATTTTACCTGAGAAGTTTGGTAAGAAATATTAAAGTGAAATCAGTTTGTAAACTTCAACATCTTATAACATTTAGGCTGATCTAAAAACTGTTTTACTGTCATGTTTTTGCACTATAAAAGGAGGATGAGATTTTAGTGGCACAAGAAGATTTAAATATTACTTGACTTGATGAATAAATTCTGTTTTTTGTTTTTGAAAATGTGGATTTTGACATTTTTCTCTGGAGGTAGGTATTGCAGCTTTCAAGTTTAGTTAAACAATGCCGGAAAATCTTCCCAAACGTGGCACCTATGTAGATCTGATCAGAATTGCCAAAAAATAGGAGTCAAAGAACAAAGCTGTGGAACGGAGTACTGACCTGGTTTCCCTAAGTTTAATACATTTGTTTGACAGCCTACTGTTTTTCACGAACCTTTCCAATGTTATTTTGAATGTGACTTTGTGTTTCTATCAGGAAAAACAACTAAGGATGTCTTTAAATTTATTTTCACATTTTCATCTGTGGTCTGTTTGTATTTTTTATTTTTGTCTTTCTAGATGATTTGATTTTGTAACTAAATGAAAGGTTTCCTACAACTGAAGTCACAAGGTTGAAGACAATATTCAAAGCAGAGCACAAGAAGAAAAAACACAAGAAGTTAATCCAGGAGGACACTTCAAATATTGCCTGTCATAAGACTCTTGAATACTGAAGAAAGCCTCATTTTAAGCCTGTAAAAGAACCAACACGCAGAATGTTTAAAAAAGTGAAGACAAATAAGGAAGCTGAGAGGGAGAAAAAGCAAAAGAGGAAAACAGTTAAAAAGACAGTAGAGAAAAAAACCAAACAAAAATCTAAAGAAGAAAAAGGGAACATGAATCTATTGAAAAATAAACCTTGTTCTTTAACAGATGCAGTTCAACCTCTGAAATACCCTTCTATCACCAGCATAGATGCACCACATAAGATAACAGGAACAATCAATGAGAAGGTCCCTTCTGTAAAAAATTTAGATCAAGAACAAGAGAAGTATAAGCCAAAAATGAACAAAGTTTCTCAAGACCAAAGTAAAATATTTATAAAAGCAACAAATGAAAACACTAAAGATATTCTGGAGCAGCAGGTTGATGTCAAAGATAGGACACAGAGACTACTGCTTGATAAAACCGAAATGGCATCCCTTGAACACAACACGAGAAAGGCGGTAATAAATTCTGATGACGAAATATTAGAGTGGGATGTGAGTGAAGGGTTACATTTGATACCCACAAAAAAAAGAGTGACACCTTTTTTCAAAATGACTGATTGGATTCAAAAGAAAATGCCACAAAAAATAAACTTACGGAAGAAAATTTCAGCTGTGACTAAAGCAGTTGGTATAACCAGCTGGCTTCGAACCTTAAAACGAAAACAAAGCAGCAGGAGATCTGGGGACCAAGTTTTTAGACACAGAGTGGCTATGAGGATTGTCTGTAAAACCAGAGTAGCTAGTCAAAAAAACAATAGTTCTGCAGAGGACAAACTTAAGAAAGAAAAAACCAGGTTCAGGGAAACCAATGGAGATGCCACAGAAGAAAAAGCAGTGGTCAGCAATAAAGAACTAGATGCCAAATATGCAGTAGTACTTCCTACAGTGAAAAAACTGGCAAAGACAACTGAGACACATAAGACCGTTCCTTCTATGTCAAATTCATCAGGAGGACACGCTATCTGCAAGGCCAAACCCCCAAAGCCAGGAGCTAAACTGGTACTTCCTTCCAAACCAGATCTCAGTCTCCTGAAGTCCATGAAAAAGTCATTGCCAGAAAATTTGCGATCAGATGATGATGTGGAAAACAAGGGTCATAAGTTTCTCAACAACTCAGAAGAATTATCCATAGAAAAGAACATTACCAGTAGAGATGTGTTAGAAAACCAAGATGGAGTCCATGTGCTGCGTGGTGCTAGAGACAAGCTAAAACCTTCTCAGATGTCAGTAGGAATGTTAGGCAATGGACTAGCTCAAACCAAGTGTGCTCATACAGCTGTAGAAGTGGCTGACCAGACACAAAGATCTGTCTCTCAATGTTCTTCAAATGAAGTGACAAGTTTTGCAGAAACAGGTGTCTGTTCATTGTATGAAGAAGAAGCAGACAGAGAAGTTGCATTGTTGATGGGTGGGAATGGATTAAATACTATCGCCCAGCCAAAGTTTCACTGGACTGGAAACAACCAGATGAGTGGAGACCCTCAGGTGTGTATTCAATCTTCAATACTCTATTGAAACAAATAACGATTTGTTCAGATGATTTGACACCAAAGCATAAAATAAATGGTTTGATAAGTTGCAACGATCTGCAAAAATCTTTTGAGTTGCAGACTTGGCTTCGGACAGAAAACTTGCTTCCATATCAGACAGTTGAGAAGCAAACCAGGTGGACGGTCTATGATGATGATGGACGAGCTAGGACTCAAAGCAGCAGGGGACACTGGGAATCAGAAAATCCGACCCAAGAGTTGCTTGAGACTCAGCTAATTAGCAAACAAGTATTGTTACCTTTCCTTTAAATATTTTTACCCCTTTGTAGAATTCCTGTATTTTGCTTTTTTGTCACACTTAAAGCTACGGTATGTAACTTTAGTCCAGGAAAAGTGCATTTCTGCAGATGTCATTTGTAGCACTAGGAAGAGGTGTATGAGCATGATTTTTTTTCTTTTTTACAGATGATCCACCTTACTGTCACAATACTGTGACAGATTTAACAAATATGTAAAAACAGTTGATTTCATTTTGTTGACTTGAAGTATTAAAGTTGCAGTATTTAACTTTTATGTAAAAACTATCAGACAAAATTACACTGAGTAAGGAGGGGAAAAAATGATGTCATTAATTAAGGAAAAGAAAACTGTCCATACCAATTTGGGTAAGTTTCAAAAATTGCCACCTCAACATTTTAAAAGTTCATGCCTGCCTTTGCAACAGCTGCCCTTTGGGATTTGTGATCTAATTTTCATCTAATCCATCAGAGTGAAAAGATCAGTTTGAAAATGCTGGGTAAGACAACTGTGGTGGTCTTGGCTGTAGATGTACTGCTGAAGCTGAGGAATACCGAATGGAGATTCAGGGAAAAGGACAGTCCCCTCAGGGAGCGATGCAATGGTGATAAATGGCAAATCTGGCCACGGGAAGTTCTGCTCACCTGGAAACAACCAGATGAGTGGAGACCCTCTACAAACTGACAGGAGGGCAAGAGTCCCCAGAGGCTGCACACTGCAGTGGAGGCAGGGTGTGAGATTTTTAAACTTCTTCCTGCCCAGCAAAACAGAACCAAAAGTAAACTACCAGTTACTTTTGTTGGGACCCAAACACCAATTTTCTTCTCTGAGAGTCACAGTGGATGCTAAACGGCTTAGGTGGATGTCACTATCATTAGTTTATAGCTTGGTGATGAGTCCAAAGTGTACAGCCTATGTAGGGGAACTGATTGAGTGGATAGATATGTCGATGTTAATTGATTCTGGTATTTCATTGATTTCAGAAGACCTTACGATGTCCTTGTTTTGTGCAATAAATGGACAGATGTTGGACACATGTTGATTGCTGTACATTTGGACAAAATGGAGATAGAACAGGCTGTGCATGTTGTCAGAGAAGGCATACAAAGAGTTCAGTAATGCTTTATTTAAAGGGTTGTGCATAACACTGACATGACACTGTCATAAACATAACAGCTTCCATGAACATGGAGTCTTCAATCCCTGTTGTCATGAAGTGTCATTCAGTAAATAATTATACTTTTAATGCAAAGTTGACATTGTTTAAACTGTCTTTGTTATAACAACTTGTTTATTTAAAACATAACCCTAGACCAAAATGTCTACAATGGTTTGCCTCATGAAGTGGATTTTTGCACAGAAGGTTTATTGACTGCTTCAAAACATCCAAAGTAGTTGCTAAGTGCACTCATAAAGTTATAATATCCTAACAGGATAAGGGAGCAACCTTGTAGTCTATTATAGCACAGATCCCTTGCCACATGCGCCTGGTGTTTGACGAAAAAATGCTGAATTTTCTGACCATAGTCATGTTTTGCTCTTTCTGACGGCGCTGTTTAGGTTGGCTCTGGCTAACCTCCTGAGGTCCTCTCTGGGTCCAGTATGGAACTTTTACAAAATTATGTCACCATAATGTGACTGCATGGTGTGAAATGGATAATGTGGGGGAAAAAAATCTAGCTCCTTGATCTCCTCGTTGAACTATTGCTGTTTGCAAAGTTACACTGTTCCTGACCTAAATCAACCAATCAGTCATGAGGAGTCAAGCAACCTCTGCTATGCTGCTTAATTTGCTGATGATGGAAAATTAACTTAGTTTCACAGGAAAACAGTTTATCGGCCCTCATCAGTGATTATGCTAACTATCCAGCACTAACACAGCTGGTTCATTTTTGTAATGAACCAGCTGTAGCTTAGCAAAGAGCAAGCGGGAGAAGGTGAGCATAAGAGTGACAAAACAATCCTCCTGGCTCTGATTGGTTACTGCTGACTCCGTTACTGTGAGTCCACTGGGAGAAGGCAGAGGAGGGGAATTTATTCAGATTATATCTTTTTAGCCAGATTATCTGCCACAGCATAACTGTAATTTTAACAAATATTTTTTTTTTAAATATTTAAAAGTTATATACTGGAAGTTTTGATGGAGATGAGATTTTCAGGTTATCACATTGTCTATAATTATGTCTACTTCAGGTTTTGATGCCTGACAATAAAATAACAGTCAAATTGGATGAGGTAGAAGATCTTACATACCTAGAGTAAGTTTATACATCAACACATACCTCCATCATTTCATTTCAACTATGTGCACTAATTCAATATTTTTGTTGAGTGTTTTTAGAGATGTGTCTGAGAGCTCTGTGCTATTGAATCTGAAGAAGAGGTTTGACCGTGACTGTATTTATGTAAGTTCCACTGTTATTCTTAGCCTTTCAAATTAAAAAAATGAAGTACAGTATGAGAAATACAAAGAATTTCTTGATTCTCATGCATTTTATTGGTAACAACTTCTCAATCGTTAATTTCTGGAGACAGTCACCAGCCCCCCTGGTGATCCCACTAGAGATAAGCGTGTAAAGTGCGTCAATGGACGGATGTCTGTATGGATGGATGAATGAATGGATGTATGGATGGTAACACCTTTGCAGATGTACTTAAAGTATTGCTGACATAATAAATCCACTTTCACAATTGAAATTTCATTCTGTGAACAGAAAAACCTTTAATGCTGTAATAAATATTTCTCACAGAATACTACAAATGCCAAGTGCAGCTGTTTTTGCCTGTAGTAACGGGTCAAACAACAGCACCATTTTGTATCATAATCAGGGTAAATCAACCCATGAACAACCAAGGCTGATCAGTAGTAGTGGAGGAAGTTGTAAGATTTCAGAGAAGATTTGAGCAATTTGTGTGCAGTTTTGGAGGAAGGAGCTGGATGGAGTGATGAAAACGAGGAAGGTGCTTCTACTGAAGGACTACAAATCAGATTACAACATAATGTGGTTGCATTGTGCTGTACTTTTCATTTCTGATGCCTTAGTTTATCTTGCCTTGATGACAGCAGCTACATATGCCCTTTACTGGGCAGATAGCCTATATAGCTAAAATTACACATTTTTATGATTTTATTTTTAAATAGGACCTTTATGTTTTAATTTAGGATTTGTATCTCCCATGATATATTGCCAATTTGGGGTATAAAAAATTACACTTTTACATGTTTGTAATAAGTTATGAAACACATTTTAAAATATTGTAAGCAATGAATCTACCTTGTTTTTGTCTGTCTTGCTTTTAATTTAAATACCACAAATCAATATCAATTCAATTTATATAGCAGCAATTAATGAATCACTTCAACCCAATCATTTTTATTAAGCCTCCAGCAGAACCAGAACTTGACTCAGTATAATGGTCAGTCTGACACTCCCCTTAGAAAATACCCTGAATTCATACATAATACAGTACAAATTAAAATAATCCATTTTATGTTTGAGAATAAAATAAAGCTTAAACAATGTTTTAATAGTGATAATATATAAATTCATTGACTCAAAATAAAATCTGAGTGTGACTATTTTTCTTTTGAACTTATACCTCACAAAATATGTCTTTATCCATAAAGTCTGTCATTTTGAACAAACTATCAATTTGTTTTTGAATGCTGGCATAAGGTCTTATGACCTCAATATTTTCCCCAAAGCCCCCTAAGTGTATCAAGCAATATGAAGTGCAGGTGGTTGTTTGCCCTCTTGTCTACAGCTTGTAAAATTTCTGTAAACCACAGGATACGAGACCAATCTAAGAGTTATGAAAGCCATTTATTATATGGCTCAAATAAATCTTGTTGCAGTCCTTCACTAGAACCAGCTCTGTTTTCTTCATCACTCCATCCAGCTCCTTCCTCCAACATGGCAAATAAATAGTTTAAATCTTACAACTTCCTCCACTTCTGTGTATTCAGCCTCAGTTTTTTTTTTTGTTTGTTTGTTTGATTTTCCCTGATAATGATACAAGATGGCGCTGGCATTTGACCCGGTTACTACAGGCAAAAACAGCGAGCGACACTGCATTTATAGTATTCTGTGACAAATATTTATTAAGAGCTTGTGTACTCAGAATGAAAGCACAGTAGTTCATGTTTTTAAATCATCTAAGTGGATTTATTGTGTGTGACACTTTAAACCCAGGCTTCTAACAATTCAGAGTCAAAGAATTTCCAATTAACTTTAACAAATCATACTTTACATTTAGTTCTAAAAACTTCCACACTGTAATTTGTGTAGAAGTATGTTGTAACTGGCTACCAGTAGATTCAATTCCTACTAAATTAGCTACTCAATCTTTGTGATGTCTGTGTACTTAGCAAATAATATATTTTACTCCAGACCTACATTGGAAACATCCTACTGTCCATCAATCCCTTCAAGTCGCTCACCATTTTCTCTGAGGAAATGAGGCAGAAATATGAGGGCAAGGAGCAAAATAACAACCCACCGTGAGTAAACGTTTCTCAAATTGCACTTGCTTGTTTTCCTATATATACTATATATACACATATTATGTCATCTTGGCATTTTTTATTTTTATTAAGTTATTATTTTTATTGTTACTAAGCTGTTGCTTTTCAACAGCTTAGTAACTTATTTGAGTGCAATCTCCCTATTTCTTAACACCACACATAATAGTATTTTCTGCTATTGTCTCGTACAAGATATTATTATTGTTCATCTTATTTCTTCATATATTGTTATAACACTTTAACAGCTTTTTGTGTGAACCTTTATATTTGTTGGTGTCCCCTTTGCGGGACAAAAAGGTTATTTCTATTCTATTCTATTCAAAAATGTGTCCTGTCTTAGTGCTGATTTAAGAAATGTTTATGTGCCTTAGCCATGTGTATGCCATAGCTGACTCCACCTTCCGGCTATCCCAGTCCTCAACACAAGACCAATGCATCATTTTGAGGTATGAATGAAAATACAGTTTTATAATTTCTTGTTTCTCATACATTTTTAACATTCAGGACTTGGCAGCATCCAGTCAATTGGTGACTGAGCGCAGGAGGTGTTACTACTCCTTTCAGTAGTATCACAATTCAGCATTAATTTAAAGTCTGTCACATTTCCTGGAAATGAGTGGGAAAAAATCTGTAATTCTAGATGAAAATCTCATAAAAAATCAGTCTAATTAGTCTAGTGTGTGGTAACACAATCCAGCCTTGATTCTCAGTTTGCGACTCATCTGGAAATGATTAATTTTCAGATGTCTTTTTGTTTACGTGTTTTGACCGACTGGAATTTGTTGATGGTGCCTAAATGAATGAACAGAATGTTCATTTAGGGACATGAACTTGCTCCATGAAGGCTTGTGAAAAACTGGGGTACTTTCAGTAAAGAGCCATTCCAACAGCTGAATCCATCTGTAACTTTTAATTTTTTTATTTTTTGTGGCACCAGTGGTCATTTTTTACTTAAGAGCTGGAGAGGAAGGAGAATAGAGAGAGGAGGGAAAACATGCAGTATTTGGCCAGAGGCTAGAACTCGTACCAGTGAAGTGACAGTGTAGTATCACTTTCCACCTCCCCATCTGTAATTTTGGTTGGCTTCTTAAATTTGTGATTCAGATGACATTGTCCGATCTCAATCGTATTTAGCTAACAAAAACAATTTAGCAAAAATAAATAGTATATGCTGCCCTCGGACTAATAATGACTGAACAGATTCTCACTGCCTGTGCCTCCATGTTGTTAAAACACCAGGGCCATGGTGAGGAGAAGGGGAATGGAACTAGCTTTTGCCAAGTTGCAGATGATGTAGTACCAACATCCCACAATACAGATGGAGGTCAGGAAATAAACACAGCCCATTTATTTCTGCTGATCCAGCTTCACAATGCCTAAAGTCTGTCATGTTCGATTGTTCCAACCGTCCTAATAGAAAGAAAGATAAATGTTATTTTTGTGTTACGACGGTAGTTGGTCATCCATCCAACCATTTTCTGTTCACCCTTGTTGCTAGTGAGGTCGGGAGATATCTTGAATTAGTCCATAATTCAAGATAGCTTAAATGTATTTTTGGATAGGAGAAATGTAGTTTTGACTAGTGAAAATTAAATTATAGATATCTTAAAAGCACATAATGACATTTGCTGGACAAACATTTGCGTATGTCCAGCAAACGTTTCGGGTGAGAGGCGGGGTACACCCTGGACAGGTTGCCATACTGTTGCAGGGCATCACAGAGAGATGCAGGACAAACAACCATACACACACATGCGCATTTGCATGCACACACACCTAGAGTGAATTTAGAGAGACCAATTAACCGGACAGGCAAGAGGAAGCCTGAGTACCTGGTGAAAACCCATGAATGCACAGAGAAAATATGCAAACTGCAAGACACTGGGCCTGGAATCGAACCCAGGACTTTCTTGCTGCAATGCAACAGTGTTGCAGTTGGCCATAAGGAGTTAATCTTAAAAAAACCGACTGAAGAAAGACAAGAGAAGTGGATCCACATTCTATTAGCTTGATAGCGACCTTGAACGATAATGTTCAACAACTAAACATATATGCTCCAATTTTTGTATTTGTGTGAAACTGGTTGGCCTTGAATGTTTCTGAGGGTTTTTGGGCTTCATAACGGTGTGCTTGATAACGTTTCAAAAGAATAATTAAAAATTCTCAATGTTATTCTAGACATTGTATGGCAAAATGTTTTTACATCAGGCTACATGGCTACTGCGTTAACATACCAACATGCCTCTCTATGCTGTAGTCGGTGATGTTTTTTGCTGCTGACCATGATCACTTATGTGACGAAAACACATAAATGATTATGTATCCTCTGTTGCTGTTGCTCTTCCAACAAATGTTGCTAAAACAAATATTGCTTTTTAAGTTTTAGATCAACTAAGTTAAGCACTGTTCAAGTTATTTGAAGGCACAGAATCACCTCAGTATGGGTCCACATTCTCAGGAGAGAAATAAATTTTAGCTATCGTACTCACACCTAAGAACAGTTAATTTAGTCAAAGAATATCATAAATATGTGTTTATGTATTCCATCTCAAGTTGGTTTGCACTGATTGCAGTTTTCTGACTGCAATCAATCAGAAAAGATTGCTGATTTTAGTGAAGCCTTATCTGCCAATTTTGATATTTTGTCTGAAATATTTCTAAATATAGTGTTAGAATGACCCTTAGCGGCAGGCTTTAAAAGAGGAGTCTTGAGGCGGAGAGATGTAGTGCAAAAGCTTTGCTACATTCCTCAGTCCATTGGATCTTATTCGGGGCCTTCCCCTTTGTCAAGTTGTTTAACACAGCTGAGCGCTCTGCAAACTGAGGAATACATTTTCTGTACCATCCAACCAGGCCCAAAAAGCTCCTCAATTTCTTCTTTGTTGTAGGTACAGGAAACTTATGAACTGCATCCACTTTCCCCACCTGTGGTCTAATTTTTCCAAAACCAATGATGTAACCTAAATAGGCCACCTCTCTCCGGGCAATGGCACATTTCTGGAAGTTAATAGTCATTCCAGCTGCTCTAATGCATGCTATCACTTGTTTTAAATGAGACATGTGGTCTTTCCAGGTTTGACTGAACACAACCACATCGTCCAAGTAAGCTGCTGAAAAACTGGACACATCCCTCAAAACATGATCCATAAGTCTTTGAAAGGTGGCAGGCGCTCCCTGCAGGCCAAATGGCATCACTTTAAAATGATACATACCAAATGGTGTTCTGAATGCAGTCAGCTTGCGAGCCTCTGGTGCCAGTGCCAGCTGCCAGTATCCTTTACTTAAGTCCAGAGTAGTAATGTATCTGGCTCCTCCAACTCTTTCCAACAGGTCATCTATTCTGGGCATAGGATATGCATCAAACTGAGACAAAGAATTCAGATAACGAAAGTCAATACAAAATCTCAGTGAGCCATCCTTTTTAGGAACCAGAACCACAGGGCTACACCGTTCACTGGTTGAAATTTCAATGATGCCCAGTTCCAACATAAAGTTGATCTCTTTCTTCAAGTCTGGTACCAACCGTTCTGGGATCCTGTAGCTTTTCTGCCGAGCTGGAGCATCTTTCTTGAGACAGATCTCATGTTGTACCAGGTCAGTGAAACCTGGTGCCTCTGAAAAGAGTGTAGAATCCAGCAGAGCTGCAACTTCCTCCTGTTGGGGGACTAACAGATGAGAAAGATCAATTGCCCTAAACTGTGTTTCACTTGAGGGCAAAAACTTTTCTTTCACTTCCTCATCTTGAACGTTACAAATCAAGAGCTGCTGCACTGGTGTCTGATGCACCTGGAATTCCTTCAGCAAATTCACATGAAATGTCTGATGTTTTTTCACTCTGTCAGGCATAAACAGTTCATATGTGACCTACTTGCCGCGTCACTTCATATGGGCCATGCCACTGAGCAAGCAATTTGTTATCTGAGGTTGGTAGCAGCAGTAGAACCTGCTGGCCTGGTTTCAGGACCCTCTCTGTCGACTTCCGGTCATACCATCTTTTCTGGTTTTGTTGTGCTGTCTTTATGTTCTCCTGCACCAAAGCTGTCATTTCCTCCAATCTCTGTCGCATCTTGACCACATATGCCACGTTGTTGTCCTCCGCCGCTTCAGGATGTTCCCAGTAGTCCTTCAGGAGGTCCAGTGGTCCTCTAACTTGACGTCCATAGAGCAGCTCAAAATGGAGAAAATCCAGTCGAAGCCTGTGGGACCTCTCTATAGGCAAACAGCAAATAGGGCAACCACTGGTCCCAATCTGCTCCTGTAGTGGAAACAAATTTACGCAGCATGTTCTTTAAAGTCTGGTTGTATCTTTCAACAAGCCCATCGGTCTGCGGATGATAGGGGGTGGTCTTAATCCCTTTCACTCCCAATAACTTGTAGACTTGTTTTAACAGCTTAGACATGAAGTTTGTTCCACAGTCTGTCAAAACTTCTTTCGGTATCCCTACTCTGGAGAACAGTTGTATCAGACAGTTAGCCACATTTCTGGCCTTCACACATCTCAGGGGGAAAACTTCAGGATACCGAGTTGCATAATCACATATAACCAAGATATATTTGTTGCCTGCTGAGCTTCTCTCTAGAGGACCTACTACATCCATCCCTATTCTCTCAAAAGGAGTACCAATAATTGGTAGGGGTTGAAGTTGGGCCTGAGAGATCTTCTTTCCAGAAGTGAGTTGACATTTAACACAGGACTTACAAAAGTTCGATATCTGAATATACATTCCAGGCCACACAAATCTTCTGGAAATTCTACACAATGTTTTGTGAAATCCATATGTCCAGCCCACGGAACTGTGTGTCCCAGATCCATTACTCTCTCTCTGAACTGTTGTGGTAATGCTAAAGACTCTACATCCCCTTTACGCTGATACAAAATTCCCCTTTTTACTACATAAGTAGCTTCATCAAGAAATCCTGTAGTGGTCTGCCTGTTCCCATCTACCTCCATAACTTTCTCAAACCAACCTTTTAAAGTTGGATCCTGTCTCTGAAGTTCACCCACATTAGCTGGAAGATCAACATCCAACAGCTGAAATGGTTTAACAGTGTTCTCTGTTTGCTTAGCAGAACCTCTTATTTTATCCCTCCTTTTTTCAGCCTTGGTTTTATAAGGTTTAACTGGTCCCATTTCCCATACTTCATCAAAAAACGGTAACTCACTCAAGGTGTTTTGAGAACTTTGAGCTCTTGTAGTGACCATATTGTGCCCCCCAGATGTCATTTTACATGGGTACTGTACGGTTTGGGCTGCAAGAGGCCTAGTTATGTCTGGTGGGGAAAAGTTGTCAGTCTGCTGAAGAAGGTGATAATGGGAACATCATTACCCAGAATAACAGCATAAGGTAGTGTTGCTGCAAGAGCTACTGATAGAAAAAATATATGTCCTCCCACAGTCAGATATATGTCAGCCATTGGATATTCATGTTTGTCCCCATGTATGCAG